TCTCCAATACAGGCAGGTCTTGCTTATGAAAATAAACTATTTTATCTAACTGGAACACATTTGATATTACTAAGGTTTATTAAGGTGAATATCAACCTGTCATATATAAGACAGTTTTTAAAGTCTGGGCACATGTTTCACCACTCGTTTGTGAACACATTTGAGAATGCTTTGATTGTATGCTTGAAGTCACGCTTGTTTGCTACCTTGCAATCTCTCAGCTCACTCTTGTAGTATATAACACATCCCCTTCCGACAATGCATGATTCGATATGGCAGTCATTTTGAATAACAGCATCGTCCATAATTATGGATCTTTTAACAACACACCCGTCGCCTATGATAACGTTTGCTCCGATGACCGAATCCTCAATCTCGATGTTATCAGCGAGATGGCACTCTGGGTCGACCAGGTTATAGACATAGGACTCAAGTGAGCCAAGGAGGTGGTTTTTGAAATCCAGCTGTGACAGGTAATCCTCCATGCTTCTAATCTGCACAATCATGTTCTCTCCGACCCTTATCCTGAGCTTGTTTTGAATTAAAAACGGCAATACGTTATTTTTAAAGCAATATAGACTGTTGTCAAGTGTGCCAAGCCCACTTGTTTTGAAAATAAAGAAGTCCTTGATGTAGTATTCAATTGTAACCAGGTATTTCTGGTTCTTCAGCAGTGGTATTTCATTACTGTTGTACATCTTCAAATAGTTCATTGTATCTATGCACATTATCGGCGATTCCTTAGAAGACTTAGAAATTGAAACATACAAATCGTCGTTTGATTTTATAAAAGATTCTAAAAGAGCCTTTAAAGGCTCTAGTCCATAAATATCGCCCTTACACATTATAAAATGTGATGTTTTTATTCTAGGTTTCAAAATATTAATAATAAACCCCATTCCCTCATACGAGGTTGTTGTGATGAACTCGATGGGAACAGCGCACTCAAGAATTTCATTTACTGTTTTAACGTGTTTCTCAAGACAGACGATAAAAAACTTAGAGGCAAAAGGAACAAGGTAGTTGAGTGACAGGTTTATGAGAGGTGTGTTCATGAACGGCAATGTGAATTTTGGAAATTCTTCTGTAACCAGCGGATGGAACTCTCCAGAAGGACCAAGAATTATGACACAATCCATCTTCATTTTTGGGATGCCAAAAATTTTTATCTATCAGTTAAAGAATTTTAACTGAAGTAAGCGTGAGGATCGAATGGAGTGGGCTGCAAAGTGTGGAACTATTCCACCTTAGATCTTGGTGTCTTCCATGCTGCTGCCATCAAAATGCGTTTTGAAATTTTTTATAAATTTTTAAGGCTATTTTGATAATGAACAAGATTAGCACGGTGAGAAGCAGCAATTTCCTTCTCTCCTCAATCAGCAGTACATACATCGCCGTTAGCATTCTTCTCGCTATCAAAGATGAACTACTCCCTGAAAACACCTGTTGCACAACCCTGTCATTAGTAACCTTGAATCTACAAATTACAGGCTTGTGATCAGACAACGTAATTTTATCTAAAGACGAGTACTCATCAAAGGATACACGAAATGCAGAAGCTACCATTACTCTGTCACAATACGAGGGGGTTCTGGATAGATCATATGAGTTCTGTCTATACTTGTATGTGGGCTTGAAGTGGATCTTCTCCTCCCTAAACTGAGGATATCTTCTTTTGAAACCGTCTGCCTGGTCATGCGGACAGCACCTAAAATTCAGGTCTCCTGCCAGTATAACCGTTTGGATTTCGCTGCCAACAAACTTCACTATTTCCTCGAGCTGGCGGAGCCGCTCGTCGTTGTTGTATTCGTGGGGTGCCAAATGTGCATTTATGTGAAGGATTTGCTCGTTTACTTTGGTTGCTATAAACCCTTTATTGACAAAGCTAAATGCTCCTTGTCCCACTCTAAAGAATTGTGTCTTCACCTCATCATTACTTGCAACCAACGTTTTAAGGCCAAACATACTGCACATCTTGACATATCTGAAATGGCATTTGATTCTAGGAGTGTCATAACACTCCTGAAGTGCCACAATGAATAGATCTGCATGTGTCTCAATTTCTGGTATCACCGCTCCGCCGTGTGTGTTCCACGTTAGCGTGCAAATCTTCATGGGAGAAAAATACGAACTAATAATTAATGGCAGCGATGAAGCGTCTGGTCAGATGGACTAATTGTTTACTGTAGTGGATTGTGCAGCATACCTTTTATGCGACTTGTGTTTCCTACCCTTGGATGAACAACTTTCTATCTATAGAAGAGCAAGAAGAGCGCATGGCAGCACACTTAGACGAGTCCAATACTTGCGACTTTCTATTTTTCTTTAATCTCTATCACTGCACTAACCCAAACACTCCCAGCACACTTTTTTTCAAAGCAGCCGCTCTTCTATCTTATCTGTCTGAAGAAACATTGTAGAATTCAACAAGGTTGTGCAAACTGTGACGAACCAAGATTTGGAGAATGAATTTATTCAGCTAGTCCTGCATGTGAGTGATTCCATCTCTAGATTTGACTTTTCCAGCTTAAAAGATATCTCTGAAAGCAGCACGCCAAGGTTGAGGTCGTTGACTAGAAAAATCTTTGAAAGACAGAAGATTTCACTTGAAAAAACCCTAAAAGAGCCGATTGGAATGTACAATCCGTCAGGCTCCTCACACAATTCAGCTGCTGTCATTCAAGACTGTGTGTTTGTGGTTGAGAACTTTTCTGGAAATTAAACTCTTAGTTAGATATTAAAATTACAAAAGTATGCATCAAAAATAATTTCATTTCATTTTTGTTAGTAAAAATGCCATTTTGGCACTGCAAATTCAGAGCTTTCTCAGTGCATAAATAATTTGGATTCTTCAATAACTATCACTGTTTTAATCTACACAAACAATAATCGTAGTCAAGCACAATGTTTATTTATGCTTAAAATATCTTTTTTCCTATCTTCATCTCTAACAAATACATTCTTTCCCTGATATTGTCACATCCAAGCCCTTCGGCTATTTTGTACCACCACAGGCTTTCCAAAAGTGATATTTCAGTGCCTAGTCCTTTTTCCAATGCCTCAGCAACAAGTAAAATTGCCTCTTTTTTCCCATACGAGGCTGATCTATGCGCCATTTTATAACCTTCCTTGAACCTGTTAAAGTCTGTACCGTAGAAGTTCCCAAAACGTATTGGCGGTCTTTGTTTAAGCATGCCAAGCTCAAGGCCACCCAGGCTGTATTTGTTGTCAATCTTCGTTCCATTATAAAATGTTACCTGGCCCTCAAACCCCTCTTGTTTTATCGCCTTATCAATATCTATTTTTAAGCCAGACCTGATCCCAAATAGAAACTCCGCAATTCTAAGCTGCGCATCTGACAGGTTATTTTCAGCTGACATTTTATACCAGTAGAATGCTTTGTTCAAGTTTCTATCAACAATCTCTCCTTCTTCATATTCTTCTCCTAGCTTGTACTGACAGTACTTGCATCCTTTGGATGCACCCAATAAAAATATCTGAAAAGCATATCGATTATCATTGAGTATGTCACAAATCCTAGACTTGTACAGCATTGCAAGATCGTAGTATGGCGCAATGTAAATTCTATCTTTTGACACGGCTGCTTGCTTTAAAATGTAATACCCGTCAAGAATATTTCTCTCGACGAAGTCGTTTCCCTTCAGTAGAATTCTTGCATATTTGTGGAGTCCACGGATGTATCCAAGCTTATAGCTTGCTCTGTACAGAATACATGCTCGCTCTACATCAACATCAGTGCCCTTGCCAAATTCAAAGCATCGAGCGAGTTCAAAGGTCCCTATTGGTGTCTTACAGGCCGCGCTTCTGGTAAAGTACTCAACAGCCAAGCTCTGATCCCGCTCCACTCCAAACCATCCTCGTTCGTGGCATTTCCCCAGCAAAGCATATGCCGTACCCACAATTACCAAATTATCCTGCATTCTCAACTGCGTAAGGCTTTGATTTTTGTACTTTCCTGTAATTTCGTTGAGAAACGCAATCAAGTTTTGGTGAAATTGAGTGTCATTTGCCATGACTTCGTCATCCAAATCTGCATTCTCGTAGTGTTCGCCATATGCTTCAATGTACTCCTGTGTCTCCAAAATAGTTCTATGGCTGGGTATAAACTTGATTGTCTGTCTTATTTCAGAGATTATGGATTTTATTAGTTTTTCGTAAATCATCGCTGATGTTTAACGGTAGGGGCTTAAAGCTGAAATTAAAAAGGACCAATCAAAAATTAATAGTCTTGAAAATATAAAGGGGTGGTGTTTCAAGTATCGCTTTTAGAAATGTCATGGCTGTTCATAAAATCTATAAATTAGTGTCCTTAAAGAATGCATTAAATAATATTCAGCTGAAAAATAAACTTAAAATATTTTGACATCTCCGATGAAATTTGAATCTGCAAATGAGCATTGTTCTTATTGCAAATAGTATAGATTGCAGTATTAAGCTACGTTAATACTGAATCAACCGAATATCAAAAGTTTAATGAAAGTAGAATTTCAGTAGCTTCTTCCAAAAAGAGCAAAGCACTTAGCATCCGCCTTACAACTAATACACTTCTTGGACTCAAATGATGGTGCTTCAAATGGAATGCATAGTGATTTGGCCCCCATCAAAGTAACCTCATCATTTTCTCTAACTGTTGTCTTCTCCCCAATCTCGTCTTCACACTCTACTGCCGAACACCAAGGCGCCAATACAATGTTCCTATCGTTCAAATATCCAAGCATCTCCTCAAATGTACTGGCAATCTTGGTCCTTACCTTTAACTCTGCTTCCGCTTTGATATACAAACTGCTGTGGATAGAATCGATAATGCCATTGAGCTGATCTACAATCTGTTCTGACTTCACCTGTATCTTTTCCCCATTATCTCTCCTTACAATACAAACCTCTGCTTTCTCCATATCTTTAAAACCTACTTCTATGCGGCAAGGCACCCCCCTCAACTCCCAATGATTGAACTTAAATCCAGGGCTTAGATTTTCGCGATTGTCAAAATGAACCCTGATATTGGATGACCTGATTCTTTCAATAATATGCTTGGCATACTCCTCAAGCTTAATCTTTTCGTTGTCAGTTGTCGTGGCTTTTATTCCACAGAGTACCACCACTGCCTGAATCTGTGCAACTCTCGGTGGACACACAAATCCTCTGTTATCGGAATGCACCATTACTGCTACTCCAATCGAACGCGTAGTTAATCCCCAACAGTTTTGGAAGACATGTGATTTGGCTTCAAGGTTATTTTCGTTATCAACTTTAATATCGAACATTTTTGAAAAATTTTGTCCAAGATGGTGGCTAGTGGCTCCTTGTATCCCCTTCCCCGTTCCAGGTATGAAGGCCTCGACTGATGTGGTATATTCCGCTCCCCCAAATGTTTCTTTCTTTGACTTTTTACCTTTGATAACAGGCACCGCCAGAAGATCCCGGTAAACCTGCTCATATAAGTCTAAAATTTCTAAAGTCTCTTTTTCAGCCTCATCCTTCTTGTAATATGCCGTATGTCCTTCCTGCCATAGAAACTCTCTGCCTCGAATAAACGGAAGTGTGGACTTGACCTCCCACCTCAACACGGAGCACCACTGGTTGAGCTTGAGAGGAAGCTCTCTATACGAGCTTAACCATCTTGCGAATGCCGGATACATAATTGTCTCCGATGTAGGTCTAATTGCTACCGGCTCTTCCAGATCTTTCTCGCCACACTTAGTGATCCATGCGAGTTCGGGATTAAAATTTTCCAGATGATCCTTCTCTTGCTCAAGGTTCCTTTTAGACACTAGCATTGGAAAGTAGCATTCTTGAATACCCATTTTTTGTATTCGGGACTCGAACCAACTTCGTATTGAGGACCACATGAACATCGATGCAGGTCTCATAATAAAGCATCCTCTGATGTCGTAGTAATCCAGCAGTTCTCCCCTGAGAACTACCTGCGTGTACCAATTATGAAAGTTATCCTCTTTCTGCGTTGTTATTCCGAACTTTTGAACAGACATTGGGCTAAAAAATTTTTCTTTACAAAATGCAAAACCGGAAGGACTGCGGTGAAAGACTGCTCTGGCTGTGCAAGCTATTTAACACAACCCAACCTTGCAAAAATGGCTATTAAAAGCATTGTCCTTAAAAGGGGTTATTTATATTGTTTAATTTATTGTTGATTTTTAAAGCTCGATTGATTTTGTGTTGTGCCATGAATAATGCGCCTTGGCAGCACTCGTGAACAGCTCATCTATTTTTGTGAGGGATGGTTTCTGTGATATTTCCTTCAGGATGGCTCTTATCCTGTCCTTGTTTTTTTTATTGCAGATACTCTTAAAAACCATTAAAATATGAAACCCAAAAGTGCCTGGTTTTTGCATTGAAGTGTCAACTCCATTGCAAAACGTCTCCTCAAATGCAAGTACCTCTCCCATTATTAGTAGTTGGTAGTTTTTCTCTACTTCCTCAGAGCATGCTCTGATGTTTCTTTCAATGTCTTTTATTCTCTGTGAAAAGTAATGTTTCCTTATCTTTTCCTTAACACTTTCAGGGCTTTCAATGTAGAAGTTTCTGATATCTTCCAAGGCCTCGTGGTTTTTTATATAAGCTTTAATTATGTTTGTGCCCACCCAAAACACCCTTTTCTGTAGCTTTTCGCCCTGTTCTAAGTATTTAGTTTCTTTATCATTTTTAAACTTCTGCTTTGCCTTGTCAAGCTCTTTGGCAAGTACAAGGCACTGTGAAAGCTTTAGTGCATCTATTCTCAAGTTTCCTAAATAATCTACCATATCATAGTAATACAGCTCTTTAGAAATGGCGATTAGCTCGTCATGAACATCATTTAGAATTTTAACTCTCTCTGAGATGCTCGAGCCTATTGCAGCTAATGTTTTGGCACTGGATTTTTTGGCTGTGTATCTTTGGAGTTCTCTTTCTATTTGCTCTATTCTTTCCGATGGTGATGCCATTTAAGGAGTACTCTATTGAAATTCTCATAGAGGAAAGACAGGGGTTAAGAACCAATAACTAACTCAAAAAATAAGTTAAAAATGCAACACTAAGAGAGCAATGACATTATCAGATATGGCTTACAGCCGTTAAGATGACTATTATGCACAACATACTTATGAAAACTAAAGTAGAAATGCTTGATTACTCAATGTTCATCAGGTGTGTTTGTTAGAAAAATATGGTCTAGCATTCGTCAAGTTGAAGACACACTTCAAATTATAATGTAATAGCATAAGTAATGCTATTTGATAAGAGTCCTTTCATTCCAGAGAGTTTCTGTGTGTATTGGTTTTAATTTGATTGCCATCTTTAAAATATGATGTGTTGATCATTTTAATACATAAAATAGAATTTAATAAGAACATCAAACCTTAAGCAGGTGGATGAGTAAAATGTACTGTGATTACATTTACATTGCTTTATAGTATTATGCATTGTCAACTACTTGGATTTTATTTACAATTTATTTAACTACATTATTTGTTTTTACCTTTTTGTTTATTTAGTTTCTTCTCAAGCCCATACCATGAGAATTAATAAAGCATTTCTTCAGAGTCTTTTGGCTGAATGCGTGTGTACGTTTATATTTGGATATGCCATATACTCTACATCACTAAATGTAAAAGGCCCTGAAGTCACTTCTTCGGATGTATTTGTCCCACTTGCCGTAGGGTTTTCAGGTATAGTTGTAATATACACTTTCTTGGATCATACCATTTGCCATTTTAACCCAGCGATCACACTGTCCGCAATTCTGACCTTTAAACTGCCAATCATTGCTGGTCTGTGCTACATTATTGCTCAGGAAATAGGGTTTATTCTTGCTGCTTGTGTTGCTAAAGTGAACTTCTCGTTAGGGTGGAAGGAGACAATGGATTTAATATCGCCAGGTCGTGTAAATCCAGATGTAAGCAATACATCTCTGTTTTTCACTGAATTTACGTTAACTGCCATTTTGGTGTTTGTAGCTTTTGAAAATGGTATAAACTCACGAAGAAACCCAGAAGTTTCTCTCTATGGTGACAAGCCACAGGTTGATAGAAGTATTGTTGTTCCACTTACAATAGGTCTGACTCTTGGTTTCTTAGCATTCCTTGCTGGCACCACGTCAGGAGGTGCCTTCAATCCGGGTTTAATATTTGCGCCAAACTTACTTGGAAACACATGGAATAGCGATGCCTGGGAATATTACGTTGGTGAGTTCACGGGTGGCCTTTTAGGTGCATTAATTCAAGTTTGGCTACTCTTTAAGTAAACAATGTTTTTCCATACTTTTACTCTAAAATAAATGGAATGTAATAATGGAAAGGTTTATTCTGGCTTTCAAGAGTGTCAAAATTGCCTTTTCCTCAAAGTTACAGATTCAAGGTTCACCCTGTCTGAGAAAAAAGCGTCATTTGGGTCTTTGTTCTTTTAAATTGCTAACATTATGGAATGAGTATAAAAGTTGAAAGACTGTGATGCATAAAAAGACCATAAATATTGTGTATTTATCATCACAATAAATTTCTTCTTGCTGTGTCTAAAAATAATGCTTTGTCTTCCTGCGATCTATTTTCAAATATTTCATCGACTTTATCTGCTAAAACTTGGACAAACTTTTCCTTAAAGTCTTTGTTTTTAACTTCTTTAAGGGCCAATATCTTTTTGACAACATCTTCAGCATTGTTATGCTTTGCGAATGCTTGTAAATCGTTTGCCTGTCCTTCTGACAATTTCCAAATGCTCTTTTGAATTTCGTCAATACATTCAAATGAATAATCATTAAAGTGTTCATCTTTCAACCTTAATTTTGAAATGATATTCTTGACGTCTTCTAGCCTTGTAAAGAATTGCTCGAATGGTGTACTATTTAGAATGAAAAGTAGTGAATTGTCGATTTTTTTTAGAAATACTTCATCAAACTCGTTTTCGTAACTATTAATTGATTTTAAAAAATCATAGCATTTAAAAATTTTCAGTGAAATATCCTCTTCCGAGAGTTTAAACAGAGCTTTTGGGTCGAACTCACTTCCAAAATAATTGTAAACTATAGTTTCTATGCTATGATCAAGATCGCTATTAAATATTCCTAGCTTTTCAGTAAGAATTCTCAGTTTCGAAATAAGGTTAATTTGACATATTGAGTATCTTGAAAGGTTCAAGAACATTTGTGAATAGAAAGTTTCAACATTGGGAAAAGCATCGGAAAGAATGTGTGAAAGTAAAATGTTTCCAATGTAAAAGCACACAATCTGATCGGCTTCTTCTTGACTGCACTGGGTTTGTTTCTCAATTTCCTTGAACATTCTTGTTCTTTCTTCTACTATTAACAGTTCAATGAGAGAAACAGTGTATTCTAACTGCTTAATACAATACATTGTCTCTTTTATGTGTTCATTGCATATATCATGCTTTTTATTTCTAATCTCATCAAATACTTTGAACCTTCCAGAAATTTCAAGCTCTTTTCCGATCTCACCCCAGTTTTGATTTAAAAATTTTCTCATATTTTCTTTAAGGACCAATCCAAAGTTTTCCTTGATTTTGTTGACTTCATCTAAAAATATACCATAAAAGTAGTAGTGTTTAAATAAATCAATTTGTTTCTCCATCTGTGTGATATCCCTGACAATCTTAAAATATGCATCCACTATTTGATTACTTGTTGAATTCTGCTCACTATCGTTTGTATTTAAGGTTTCCAAGAGTTTTGTTGCTTCATCTTTCTGTTCTAGAAACCTTTTCTAGATTTAAAAGCTCTCCTTGAACAACAGAAATTCTATCATGGCACTGTGCTAGCTCTTTTTCCTGTCGTTTGTTCTCATTAACACTAATCAAAAGACTACTTGCCAGCCTTGACACTTCAGTGTTTATTATTTTAAGATCATTTACTTTATCCCACAAAATATCCAAAATATCACAGGCATCCACCAGAGTGGAGTATTCCGATCCCATTGCTTCAAGAAGCTTGTTTGTTTTCGCTTCTAGTCTTTTATTGGCAATGGCTACTACCTTCTCTTTATCCTTTGAAGTGAAGAAGCTCTTAAGCAAGCTTTCATTCTCAGTAGAAAATCTCATAGGGCAGTTTTGAACAGGGCTGGATACCCTTAATGTTTTAGATAGAAAACTGATACGGTAAAGCCGTCCAATTTTATTGGTGACAATTTTAACTATAAAACAATTTCCGATAGATTTGACACTTGACAATCTGCAGCTCTTTGTCTAGAGCTTTCACATTTATCCTAAAGGATGGTATATAATGAGTACAATTGAAAGTTGAGAATTTTTATATACATCTGTTAAAGTATGTGTAAATATAAAATAAGCTTATAATTTCTTTTCCTTTTGTCTTGAAAAAATTTTTCCCCAATGGCTTCTTTTAAAGTGCTAAGAAATGGAGAAAACTCTCAAGTGCAGGTTAATACGTCACAGTTCACTTGGCTTTTTGATTGTCACTCCTCAATTTATGGTAAAAATTTTAGATTTGCATCTTTTAAGGATCCTCATAAGCCTTTAAAGTTCGTGGTTAGGTGCCTTGATGATATTGACTCTGTGTTTATTACAAACTCAAAATCTATTGGTGCAATGTTTTTAAAAAATACAAAAATATACTTAACAAGGCCTGTTTTTGAGCAAATACTGTTAAGATATGAGCAGTTGAAAAGTTTGACAGTTTCGTATGATGGCATGAATGAAGAAGAAATTATTGAAAAATTTTTTAGTTCAGATTTTAATACGCCGTTAAAATATATAAAAAGCGATGAAAAGCACGCTGATGATCACATAGCTTTGGATCAAAAAATTATCGATTCCGTTAGATACAAAATTGTACAAATGGATGATATTGACTTAGAAGAATTTAAAAACAACGTTATTTTTATCAAATATAATCAGATTGTTGAGTTTGATGATTATGTATTACAATCTGTGCCTTGCGGCACTTTCTTGGGCTGGTGTAATTATCAAATTATATTTCCAAACACTAAAAGTATACTTATTTTAACTTCATACTCCCATAAAAGAAGGTTCTCAATTGAAGCTGCTCCAATCAAAGCTGACTATTTAATAATCAACAGAGAATATGGCGATGATTTTGGTCCTATTGAACTATTTTCAAAGTATATTAGAGAATACGCCTTAAGAGCTTCTTCAAGTATCAAGCCATTAGCTATGCCTGTTGATCTTCCTACATTTTTTATTGAAGTGCTTGTGCACGTTCTTTCAGTTATTGATCAAACTGGTGTTCCCATTACTATTGTTTCTGAATTTTTTACAAAACTTGATCTTCTATTAAACGTTCATAGCGAATGGCTAAATAATGACTTCTTTAGTATTGCAGAGCCCTTTCCTGTGAGAAAATATTGTAATTTAAGAGTTGTAGAGAGTTTAAAAGAGGTAGAAATGCATAAGAATTTTGTATTCTTTTGTATTGAACAATATGAAATGGTAAAAGATTCTATTTCGGATAATTTTGAAATTGTATTGATTAATAATTCGAAAGCTGGATTACAAGCATTAGAGAATGTAAAGCATGTAAGCAATTCTTACAAAATACCTAAAAATGAAAAACATCAATTTGAATGTCTTCCGGGGGTTGGATTGTCAAATGATAATGCCGCACTGACTAAAGAAGCATATGCTTCATTTAAAAGCTTTAATTTCAAAATAGAATCAACAGATCATGAAATTTTGTTGGGTTATCAGGGTTGTTTTGTAAAAGATCAGTATTTTTTTGTTGAGAGCGAGAACTCAAAGGATTACATTATGGTAGATTCTTTACTGCCCATTATAAATGAACTCCGTAGTTTTCTGTGGTGAATTGAAAATTTCTGATTTTGATTTTACAGGTAAGATTGTCAAGTATTTAATAGATAAGAAAGTGTTTCTTAAAGACTTGATAGCAGATGAACATCCTGTATTTATAGATGGATGGTTTGTTATAGTATCAAAGAAAATGAAGTTTAGAATTTTGAATACAAGACAGATAGAATGCGTGCATTTCTAATTTATTTGTACTTTCCATTGTGGTGTGAAATTTAAAAGGCGTTATCAAAAATTGAA